GCAGTCCACCTTCTTAGCATAAACAAATCTGTTGCTCCAAACTAACAGTGCCCACCCTTTCTAGGAAGAGTACTTAAGCTTCTGCCAGCATCATGGGCAGGCTGCACACTGCAGCCTGGCCCACAGGCAGCTGAGCCTCCTGCAGCAGCTGAGTGCAGGCCATGTGGATGAAGTGGCTGTGTTGTGCAGGCCCAGCAAGTCTGGGGCTTCCTGCAGAGCCCTGCTTAGCTGGGCAGAGCACACACAGAAGAAATGCCCAGCAGCATCCTAGGTGAAACTGCCATTTTTTCTGTGGCCTCCACAGTTTTTGCTAATCATGAGCACGCACCAGTGCCAAGGCCAGCAGGCAGGGTGCTTTCACAAATGATGGAGAGTAAACTGCTGTCAACTGAGAGCAATTCTGGTGGCTCTTGGACAACTCGCTACACCCCCAAATCATCCCAGGAGGGGCAGCTGAAAGAAGAGTGCCGCTGGCTGTATGAATTACCCTAACAGGTCAGTATTTGAGAACTATTATTAAAAATATTTCTATAAAGAGTTAAGGAGAGGCAAATCCCTCTTTAAGGTGCAAAACCAGCAGAGAATGGCTTAAGGTCTGCTGGGGAAGTTCTGGTTATCATCTCCCTTCTGCCTAAGTATCATAGCCACCACTGTTTTTTGTGACAAGTCCATGAACTGAAATTTACTGACTTCCATTTGTGTTCTATTGCCATTTCCTATATAGCACTCTGTATAAACCCCTAGTCAGTGACTCAGGAAAGATGTAGTCTAAAATCTTCTTCATCTTATTTGTAATAGCTACATTAAATCCCTGTCTTTAAATATGACTGTCTTACTGCTGTGTTAAGTTCTCCATTCCAAATATAACCATATTTCCCACATTTTTTGCCTTTGGGAAATGTGTGATTTCTTCAGAATTAGTAAAATAATAAATTGCAGTGACAGTCTAGCAAAGGAGTTTTTAAAACAAATTCTTTACAAGATAACTTTTATTTGTTGTGTGTAACAGAAGGCAACGGTGAGTTAATGTTTAAACAAAAACTATCCTTGTTAAAGATTCAGTAGCCCAATGTTTTCAACCAAAGTAAATTTTCTCTGTGACAGCGTTCCTCAAACCTTTTTGTTATTCCAACGGAAAATGCTGTGGGGATGATGAATGATAATGGAATATATTTGTGTTCCGGTAGGCTGACAAAAGAGACTGTAAAGGTACGTGAGACATGGAGGACAAAGGTTTTCTGGAACCCCTGTGCTCATTAAGTCAATCTGTATTGTTCATCCACATAAAGCAAAACTTCAGTAATACTTTTCAAAAGTAGCTGTAAGTAGCTCTGTCTGAGCACAAATTAGGTCCAAATGCTAAGTTTAGAGATGCCTAATCTCCTGAATGTGTGATGAACAGTCTTGTTTCACTACCCGTGTCTTTTGTAACATCAGAACATAATGTGTGAAAAAGATAACAGAACTTGGACATTTTTCCCACATTTCATATATGACATTTTAATGTAGATTGTACAACTAAATTATATGACAGTTGAGGAAATTATTGTAGATGCAGTGGATGACGCCAGGTATTGCAGAAAGAGGGTTATGCTGAAAGTAGCAGAAGGCTGCCCTGGGGAACTGGATTTTTCTCTTTGCCTCGAAGCAAAGTTGCAGTATGATGCTTGGCAAATCATTAAGACTGCCGTTTTCAGACAGCAGCTATCTTTGCTCTTTTTCAGTTTCTGAGTGGAAAAAAGCATTGAGCAGTTACAGCTACAAATTTCCACTGGCTACAAATTTCCACAAAGTGCAGGTTTTAAAAGGCTATCCTTCATCTAATTTGAGTGGATCTTCTCAGAGACAAGGTCCCTTTCAGAAAGGCCGTGCTGGCTAAATTTCAAGTTCCTGCTGCAAACCATAGCTTTCCAAAGAAGAAACTTTGCCAAATTGCTTTAACATTAAAAAAAAGACCATCTTCCCCTTGGCTAAAATACCATTAAAATCAATATCCTAAAAATGCTGTCAAAACAGCTATACTGCTACTAGTCGAATCCACCATACCTACAATACATCTTAAATATCACGGTTACAAAAGAGAAATCTAGAATATAGGGAGGTCAACAAAAAGCAGTAGTCTGAATCAATGGAAATTGTTTTGTTGTCCGTAGTAAGGGAGCAGATGAGTGAAAATGTTATAATTTTTTGGTAGAGCACTATTTTTTTGCAGCACATACAAATGTATTTTAAATACATTGCTGACGCTATTAAATTGCATTCCTTCCTTCTAGACACCCTGCCAAGTGGATAACATCTTCATGGCAATTTAAAGATGACAATTTATAAATTAAATCATTTTATCCACTGTTTACAGTCTTGTTACCATGATTGTTACCAAATGTTATCATTGGCAGACATATCAATAGTCATTGAACTAAACATAGCAGCTAATACTCCAGTCAATATTAGCTCACTATCAACAAAATTAGAAAACTGGACCTTACCTTGGTTAGAGGGTTAAAAAAAAAAGTAATATTTTTCTGATTTGAGGATGTGTTATCTAGATTCCATTGCTCCTGCTAGCAACTCTGTCTTGGTTAAATAAAATCAATTTTACTAGATGGTTCTAAAAAAGCCGTGTAATTCTGGAGAGCAAATTAAATTATTTTAACTTTTAGACTTGAAGAAATTTCAACCAACTGAATTGTTTTAGAAAACCATCAATACAGAGTTAATGTATTCTTATAGCTCCCAAGTTAGACTAGCCTTATCAGCACTAAAACTACAATTAAAATAATTTAATAGGGTTTTTCTCCTACTAAACTCTCTATAGAGCTTTTTTCTCCTCCTAAGCTTTTAGAAAAGCTCTTTTTTTTTTTTTTTTTTTTTTTTTTGCTATGAAATTCAGCTGTTAGATAAGGGTGCCCTCTTATGGAGATTGTGGGCACAAAGGCTTGGTAAAGTTTGCAAGGTGTTTGCAGGATTTAGTAGAGAGGGATTTCTTTACAAATCGACGTAGCAGATTTTTAACAAACCATAGTAGCTGAAAAAGTAGTAGACCATGTAACTTAAGAAACAGAGACTGTCTTTGAAAAAAAGCACTTAGTTTCTTCATCATATGCTCCTATGTAAATCCTTCTCTTTAAGGAATTTCTGCCTTTGGCTTCAACACGACCTGGATTTCTCTTTCAATCATTGATAGAAATTGTACAAGTATTATTAAAAATGACTGAGAGAAATTTTAGCTAACCAGTGACAAAACACGACCTTAAAAAAATTAGAATAGTTGGGTAGTTGGGGAGGGGCCTGAGTAAAAAAAAGAGAGGTCAACCAATCTCTGCCCACATTTAGTTTCAATATTATGTAAGAGTTATTTAAGATTTAATTCGGGATACAGATATACTTTTCATATATATATACAGTAGATCCAACTTTATCTGTATTGCCATGTGTGTTTTACTGCCGGGAACTGAGAAAAGCGCTTACATTGATGTAGTTGATCTGAACCCCCTGACACTGCAGCTTAGCGAGACCTGTCAGATGCTTCTTCTACACTGCTACTTATAGTTTTTGCTTAAATGGTTTCTTTGTTTTCTTTCTACTTAAAAATGTTACTTTCTGACAATTAAAATGCTATTAATATTTTTCAGCTATCCACAACTTTCCAACCTTTTAAGATTCCTTACTCACAGATATAAGGGCATGTGTGGAAATGCAGAATTTTTTAATGTGGACCTTTCAGTATAACGTGATTGGAAAGAAGATACGCAAAATCCAAGGAATACAAAGATCTGACACTACAATAAATGCTAAACTGGTCAGTTGTGATACAGAAATATTGCATTAGCATTTCTATTATTTATTCAAGATTAAGCAGAATGTTTCAGGTTTTCGTGTGCTAATGAATTACTTAACAGAAGTTTAAACATCTGTATTCACTGATAGATTTGAAAGTAATGCATATAGAAAGTATAAGTTTATACCTTTATATAGCTAAAGATCTAAATAACTTTTCTCCAAGAGTAAAAGGAGTTGCCTGAGAAACTCTTTGAATCATTGATGTTGGCTTTGTTTTTTTGTTGCTTATCACTGTGTAGCAAATTTTGTCTTTTCATTTATAAAAAGGGAAATATAAAGTGCAGTTGGAGATACTGTAACAAACTAATGCAGTATCAGTGAGACCATTTATGGAAAATGGTTCTACCTGGCCACACAGCTAAAAGAGTTAACAGACTGGAAAAGGCTCAGAAAATAATGGAACAACTAATTTTAAGTGTAGAAAATATGCTCAATTGTGAGAAGCTAAAGAACTCGGTCAGTTCAGCTTGTCTAAAAGAACTGACTGATCTATAGGTATTTGAGATTACTGACGATAATGCCTCTGGCACTAAAAATCAGAATGAGAGTCAGTCTTTACCTGTCAGTGCAAGTTGTTTTACTTTTGCAGAATGTATTTTTCCATCCACTTCCCTTGTTTTGTTATTTATAATGAAGTGGCAAAGTACTTGTTTGCAGTGTAACTCTGATAATCAAATATGGCAAGAGTTGAACAATCCAATGACATTTTGTGCTAAATCCTTATCTTGCTCTTACTGCATTGTTGGCTCAGTCACTCACAATGAGATAGAAAATAAAAAAACTGGGGTTTTAGAAATACTCATTTCCTTTAAAACTTCTTGTAGTCAACAAGAAGTTAAATTCAGCCTTCTATAGAACCAGTTGTACTCATGGATGACAATTTCACTAAAATAAAAAAGAAACATGCAAGACCTTAGCAAGAAGTAGGAGACCAAAGCTGATGGGCTGTTGGAAGAGGCTGAATAACAGAGCAGTAAATTCATTACCGCTGTCCTGCCACCAACCACTGCACAAGTCACTGCCCTGAAGCAGTGTGTTCTGTACAGCCTCTGAACCCCCTGACACTGCAGCTTAG